CCCCAAAACCCCAAAACCCCAAAACCCCATAAAGAAAATATATTAAAATTATAAATTAAAAAAATAATTAAAAGCAATAAATTAATAATGCAACTAAACAACTTCAATGTAAATGATGAAAACGATAAGTACTCTAATCATGATGATGGCGAGTATGATCCATCCATGCAGACCTATGCTGATTCTAGAGTCGTCAAGACTGTTCGAAATCTCAAAAGAATCAGGTAATTAAATTAATCTATTTCTCAGATTTTTAATAGCAGCGCAACACCCAAAAAGAATATCAGTGGCACTCAATTACCCACAACTGATGAAGCTACTTTCATTAATCAATAATTTCAATAACCGTAAATATTCTAACCCTAATAGAGAGGAACCTCTGGTGGGAGCTATAAATCTTCTGTTAATAATGGTGCTGACTCATCCTTTGTCGATCCAACTAGAGTAGTAAGAGTGATGTAGCAGTAGCCCATGATAAGAAACTCCTAAGCCCCATAGATTTTTCAATCTAACACAGCAACTTAAAACTCTATGTTGCAACAACAGCAGCAATATTCAATGCTTTAATAATCTAATTAACTTCCTAAAAAAGATGAAACAGTAGAGGAAAGAATCCGAAGAATTAGAAGTAAAAATGCCCCGAATCCTCCTCCATAAGATGAGAATATTTAGAAGCAACACCACATTATGATGCATCAATAGACTTAAATTATTAACGCTTAAAAATAAAATAATCTTGCTGGCCTTCAACTTTAAAAAATGAACTCTGCAATGGGCACTCAATCTAGCAAATCTATTCCAAATTATTCACTTCAATAAAATGGCCAAGCTCTAAATCAAACTAGAACTAATACCAATAGTATGGCTGGTAACAATGGAACAAATGTTTTTGCTAATCAATCTTAAGTTAATGGCAAGAGTATGCCTCTGGATAATAGCTGGATTTCTGAAAATACTAATAATTAAAGTTTCATTAGGAATGCCTAATAATAGTAATTAAACTCTAAAAATTCTTAAGTTAATGGCAAATTACCCTCCTCTAAAAGCACTACTGCTGATACAGATTTGAATAATATAAATTCATAACAACAATTTATGCTAACGGAGGACCCTTACTTTTAGTAGCAGTAAATGAATCAACAAATGGGACCAATTAGAGGAGTAAATCCAGAAAGCAATATAAATCTTTAAAATGATTAAATCCTACTAGACTCAAAGAGAGATAAATGCATCGAATTAATGAGAAATAGCACAGCTGTACATGATATTATTTAGAAGTTTAAATCAGATCCATAAATGAGCCAAGTTTATAACCTTGATCTTAATGCCTTAGTCCAAATAATGTTTTAAGATAGACACTTTACTAATTGTAAGTAATATAATCCAATAAATATATCATATATATCATTATCACTAACTATCAGACTTTACGAATTTATTTAGTGTTGACAATTGAACTAGCAAAGAAGTAAGGAGCTAATAAGCTGGAAAAGTTCATTGCTGAAAAGTTGTAAGATAAGTTAAAGAGTATGCACACTGAGATTTAGATCAGAAATAAACTTGAATCGGTTAATAGAAGGTTGTAGGATCGTCTAGAGAGATTGAAAAGATAAATGTAATGATTCTCCTATTATGAGTACTTATTGTAATAAATATCATTTATAACTTAAATAAAATAATCCATACGATAGTTAAGAATAAACAGCATCTCGGGGTTTTGGGGTTTTGGGG